CCTTTTGCAACCGGAAGTACCTGAAACCATAAACACATAACTGTAAGCACAAAGATTAGTGAGTTCCCCAAAATACCACATACCATACATATCATTAGGCCTAGCCCCAGTATATTGGGCCCAACCCATAATAATGGGCATAACCCTTCCTTAGGCCCAACCCTACATACAAATGGACCTAGCCCATCATACAATGGGCCTAGCCCCAACATACGATGGGCCCAGTCCACTCATACAAATGGGCCCAACCCAACATAAAATTCAAGCTAGCATTCTATATAACTCACCCTAGTGGGCCGACATTGGTGCCTTCGACCAGCGGGTACAGTGAAGAGACTCACCTTGAACTGAAGATAACCGAATCATACTCATGCGGCTGCTATAAGGGATCCTCGCACTGAACATATCCAAAATCATTCCTAATCAATAATTAAGGTAATAATCCATTACCAAGGGTCCAATTCTTATTCTAACTTACTAAGGGTAAAAGACCCCTTTTACCCTTCCCATACTTAACCTAACAATCATGACCCAAAACTCATAATGACCTAAGACCCAAAAATGGACCACATACGCATCTGGGAGTATGCTCAATGTACTCCACATATACGCCCCACGTACTGATTGATCACCGAAAAAGAAGTGGGTCGAGACTCGCTACGCATAACGTACCAGAGAGGTACGTCCAACGTACTCCACCTGAGGCCAAAACAACTTTCTAAGCTCTTAATACTTTAAGACCCAATGCCCAACTCTCAGACCTGACTCTAAGGGACATCTTAAGTCATAAAGTTCCTAACTTTATGACTTTGGATTCATAACTTCACCAAAGGACCACTAACTCATGCATAGAAGAGTTATACCCATCAAGATTCGATTTTTATGGCTTAGGTGTTGTTTGTTTTGGAAGTGATTAAATGTCTTTTTGTCTTTTTCCATGTTTGCGGAAGAAGACGTGCACTTGAGAAACATCTACCCGCCAGAAGGGAAAAGTGCTCAAAAAGTACTTTTGTAGAAAAACAAACGAGGCCTTAATGACCTTAAAAATGACTAGAAATGAGGCTCAAAGGTTTTGGGGTAACTTCTACTCACAAGATCTAAGCCATGGGACCAAATAAATGCTCAAAACATAACCCAAAACTAAATCTACACTAAAGAGAGATAAAGTTTGAAGCTTTATGCCTCTAGAAGCTTGCAACGATGATAAAAGTCATGGATCTCCAAGCTCTAGCAACAACAATCCACAAGGATGAACTTCTCCATCTTCCACAAGGCACCAAGAACACTTTAAAGGTCCAAAACAAGCTCTCAAATATTAAGGTTTCGAAACTAGGGTTGGGGAGGATGGAGGCTAGAAATGGAGAGGCCTCAAGGGACTTAAGGTGCTTAAGTAGGGGCAGAACCCTAAAAATTAGGGTTTGGATTCTGGATGAGTACCCCCAATGTATGCCCAATGTACTCAAAGATGCCCGTGATCCTTTTAATGGTTTACGCCCAACGTAAATTGAAAATCCATAAATCCTACTCAAATTCAAATAGATATAACTTCTTCGTTTAAACTCCGATTCCGACGATCTTCATATGCTCAGAAAGGTATTGAAGAGCTCCACAAACCTATCACATTACTATGACTAAAACCATACCAAACTAACATTCTTAATTCGCGTAAGAATCTTGAAACATCACTTCTTCTCATATTACCCATTTGACTCCAACACACGAATCGAGGGCGTGGATCACATAACCTATATTACCCACATCCAAATAGGTCTAAATCTTTCTTTCCTCAAAGACCAAAGCCTTATGATAATCGATTTTCAGATCACGACCCCGAATTAAGAAACGACCAGAAACTGGGTGTTTAAGGTATGGTGTCGTCAAACTTAGCTAATGTGTTAGCAGGAGTGTGGGTGGGTTTGCAATTGAGCATCTTAGCCCATTCAAGAATCTCGGTGACATACTTCTGCTGAGATAAGAACATGTCATGACTGTCTCTAGTTACCGTAATACTTAGAAAATAGTTCAGAGTGCCTAGGTCGGTCATGGAAAACTCTGAATGAAGAATGGTGATGACCTACTGCATGAGAGTGGAAGATGATGCAGTAAAAAAGATATCATCTACATAGAGCACCAAGTACGCAATCCGAGCACCCTGTCTGTAGATGAACAACGAAGAATCAGATTTACTGTTAGTGAACCCGAAACCTATAATAAACTAAGCAACCCGATGATACCACGCTCGCAGTGCTTGCTTGAGTCCAAATACGGACTTCTGAAGTAAGCAAACATGATCCGGTAGGGATCTATCACGAAAACCCAGGGGGTGATACGTGTAAACAATCTCCTGTAAGTGACCATGGAGAAATGCATTTTCACATCCAACTGGTGAACCGGCCAGTGGTGTGAAATAGTCAGGCTGAGGATAGTCCTGATAGTAGCCGGTTTTACAATCGGGCTAAAAGTCTCATCACAATCAATACCAAGTCATTGACTATGACCATTAGCACCTAGACATGCCTTATAGCGAGCTTGCGAGCTATCTGCATTATGTTTCTTTTTTAAAAATCCAAATACAGTTAACAACATTTGCAGTGGGAGGCCGAGGCACAAGTACCCAAGTCTTATTAGAAATAAGTGCATTAAATTCTTCAGTCATGGAGTTGTACCAATTTCAATCTTGAAAGGCTTGAGAATAGTTTTTGGGAAGCAGAGACTAAGAAAACTAGGTGTGAAGATTTAGTTTTTCAATGGGCTTGAAGATGCCATGACGAGCACGGGTTTGCATAGGATGAGTGCAAGTGGAAGTAGGAACAATCGGAGGAGTGTTTGATGGAGGATTATTGTTAGTAAGAGGGGGAAGATTAGAAATAGAAGGAGAAGACTCGAGATTATATTAGGAGGGAATTCTATCAACATTGCTGCTAATATTTTGGGTGGAGGTGTCGATGGTGGTTGAATTTTGTTCGGGATGTGATAGAGAAGATTGAGAGGGAATGGTTGGATCATTGAAACAGTTTCATTGATCTTCAATATTTAGTAACTCATAGTCAGGAGATTGATGAGGAGTCATGGAACCGAAAGGAAAGGCAGATTCATCAAATCTAATATGATGGGAAATGATGATTTCTTTGGTATGAAGATTGAGACACTGATACCCTTTGTGATTAGAAGGGTAACCAAGGAAGATGCATGGGACGGATCGGGGTTGAAGTTTATTAGTGTTGTTGAGGTGAGGATAACATAGGCAACCAAAAACACGAAGATGGGTGTATGAAGGGTGTTTGTGGAAGAGTTTGTGAAATGGAGTGTCGTGTTTGAGGGTGGTGGAAGGAAGGATATTTAAGAAATGAGCGGCCATATGAAGGGCTTCCACCCAATAAGTTAGTCGAAGATGGGCTTGGAACAAAAGGGTTTGAATGGTGTTATTTAGAGTACGAAGCATGCGTTCAGATTTGCCATTTTGTTGAGATGTCTAAGGGCAAGAGAAACGCATGTAAATACTATTAGTGGCACAAAGATGGTGAAAATGTTTGTTATCAAATTCTTTGCCATTATCACATTGAAAGATTTGGATATTGACATATGCACGAAAATGGGGAAATTTAGAATACACATCAGATTTATTGCACAATGGATATACCCACACAAAATGAGAATATTGATCAAGAATAATATTTTATTCCATTATGACTTATTAAATGAGAAGTCCAAACATCATAATGAATGACATGAAATGGCAAAGTAGCATGCCATGTTGATAAGCATGGCATAATATACTAGGATCGTTTATATTACACGAGATAAACTTTTTGGAAAGTAAATGTTGGAAGATTTGAGTCTTAGGATAACGAAGTCGTTGATGTCACGTGGATGAACTAACACAGAGAAATGCTTGAGGAAGTTGTTTTGAGAAGGGATAAGGGATAGTTGTTGACAAATGTTTTCCTTTAATAATATTATTCCACCAAAAATATATATACAAAAATCGTAAGGGCTAAAAATATTGGCTAATAATACATGGGCCACACAATAAAAAAATACTACAACCTAAAAGTACTATACACAAAATATATATAAGCTAACATAACCAAGTTTAGAATTTTGTTGCTAACACTTTTTAATTGTTTCCAAATCAAAATTTCCATCATCTCTTGATACATAATCCTCCACCGCTACCTCATAATAGGTTGCTATAAGTTTATATACTTTAATATCGAAAGTTTTATCACTATACAAGACAGTTTTCTCATTTTCTTGCGTCATATTTGGAAGACAGTTATATATACTACTAATAAAACTATATAGAAAAAAATAAATGGCTACGATTAGATTAGCAAGAGCCAAGAAGCTAAGACGAAGGCAACAGATAAGATATAATTGCATAAATAGATGAATAAAACTAAAAGGGGGACATGACCAAACATACCTAACTACCACAACCATTGTTTACATACTTACATTTATATTTACACCACATAATAGGGAGATGACATTTAAGACGCCTATTTTTTTTAGTTTGCCGAGGCTGTGGTCTCTTCCAAAAAATAAGACGCCTATTTTCTAAAAAATCCTTTTCACTTCTGGCGTCCATATATTCCAAAGGGTACAAAAAGATCATACTGGGCTACTGGCTAGCTATATATCAATCTTTTCCGAAGGCCGTTACCCCACGAAGTTACACACGAAGCTCATCATTGGTATTTATTATACTAAGATTATTATAACGGAGAAATGCAGAAAAGTTTGATATAATGTCCTTTTTATTTTTGTATCATAAATCACATTTTTATGTTTTCTTTATTTTCAATCGCTATAAATTTATAACATTGTTCTTGATCTCTTCTTTTATTAGAATTTTATACTACTAAAATATTTTCAATTGTAACAAAAAAAACATTCTTTGCTGTATTTCAATATGTTTTTTTAAGATAATGTTCCAGTGGGAAATATGAAAATAAAACTATATCATAAACAAGAACACGCAACTTATCATTTCTTGCCCTTAATCCTAACATAAATTTCACAATACATGAAGATTTACCTGAATTAATAAAGTTCATAATGTAGCGATAACAAACTTATATATGAAGTATAAACTAACATTTAATGTTTTTGGGTATCGCTATTAGTGGTTCTAGTTTCCTAACAACAATTCCCATTTTATCATTCATGTCCAGCGTCTCGGCTTTCACATGGCTTTCAAGCTCCCAATCAAACTCGTGTAGCAACGAACCCAATACAAGGTGCAACACACGGTGCGCTAGTGGTACCCCTACACACATCCTTCTCCCTCCACCAAATGGTATGAGTTCAAAGTGTTGACCTCGGTAGTCAACCTTTGAGCCCAAAAACCTCTCGGGCTCAAATGAATTAGGGTTTTCCCAACATTCTGGGTCCCGTCCTATGGCCCATGCATTCACAAACAATTGGGTATCTTTTGGGATATGGTATCCCATGAAGTCAGTGTCATGGGCGGCCTTTCGTGGGACCAGGAATGGGATTGGAGCATGGAGCCGTAGAGTTTCCTTTACGATGGCTTGTAGGTAAGGAAGGTTATCAATGGAACTCTCTTCGAGTTTCTCATTCCGGCCAATCACCGACTTCAGCTCATGTTTGGCCTGAATCATTTTGTTAGGTGCCCTGAGTAACTCGCTTAAGGCCCATTCAACCGTACTACTAGTTGTTTCAGACCCAGCCAAAAATATCTCCTGAAAAAGATTAGAAAGATATGCTATTAGTACTCAAAACACCAACAAATTAATAGTCAAAAACTCACCAAAATAAAAATAGTGATGTCCCTCTCTGACATCTTCTCTAGTTCATCTTTTCCGGTGCCCTCGTAGTCCAACAACACGTCCAAAAAGTCCTTATGTCTCTCGACCCCCTTTTTCCGCTCCTCCACCCGCTCTTCTACCCACCCCGTTGCTATTTCTATCGCTTTTCCAACATCTCGGTCCATTTTCTTTCTCACCCCTTGTAAATCGAACCATTTCAGCCACGGGTACAAATCCGATATATTCGGATGACCGCCCCATTCCATCATCCCTATCATCACAGTAAAAAACTCGGATGCAAGTTTAGAATCCGGGCCTGCCAAGTCGCGGGAGAGCATGAGGTTGCCTAGTAGGTTAAACGACGAGAGGAACACAAACTTTGCAACGTGGATCCCGGTCCCAATTTCACTTGAATCGACTTCTTTTTCAATCCAAGTTAACATGTCATCAACACACCGTCTCCTAACGGCGATCGACTCGTTGATCCTTTTTGCCACAAGCATCTCGACTGTACAGATCTTCCTCAGCACTCGCCAGTACATTCCGTATGGGGCGAGTGCTAAGGAAGATTTGTCATAACCGTGAGACTTACTGGCCTCGGTGATCGTGCGTTCCATGAACGTCAGATCATGGTTCTTGAAAAACTCAGTGGCGGCCTTGGCACTCAAGATCGCCACTGTGTTCACTGAGCCAAGCTTTAAGCTAATGACCGGACCATATTCAGCGGCAAGTCCGGCCACAGTTCTATGTGGCATGGCACCAAGATTAAAAAGGTTACCAAACACAGGCCACCCTGGTGGAGCTGGTGGTTGCCGTTTTCCGCCGGTTGTGGCATATTTCTTTCGGAGGTAAAGAAGAAAGAGAATAGTTAAGAAAGAAACGAAAACAAAAGTCCAGTTAAACTCCATCGTATTTTGGATCGTTCTTTGATATATTTTATGTATTTATAGATCTTAATGACAATTAATGGCTTGCCCGTCGGCCGGCTGCTAAATAAAAATTTCGGAGTACAGTCTGATCTATAATAATAATAATAATAATAATAATAATAATAACATGATTTATCATACTTTACTTTCTAAAATAAATAACAGTATTTTTTTATAACATGATGTTGCCGCGTTTCTTACATTTACTTCATGGTGATTCATTAGAAATACTGTTTTTATGTGAATAAAAAAGTCTACAGATTCTAAAAGGAATCATAAATTAATAAAAAAAAGAAAGATGTCACACACATGACCTTACTTGACAAATTTGACAATTTAAACTTTTTATCAAGCTCGGTAAATTTGGTCCATATTTGCATCTGAGTTTTTATTTGCAAAAAATAATATTTTGGTACTCTCCGAATCGTATCCTTGAATTATTCATCTCTAGTTGGATCACTCTTTTGCATATTCTTGAACCCAGAACTGTCGTCTTCTATTAAATTGGTCAAACTAGGGTTTTGTGCACCATTTTGATTTTATTTTTCAAACATCAATTTTTTTATAAATTCGTTGTTCAAAAGAAAATCAAAAATGATGCACATAATACCGTATGCAGCACTTTAATAATCAATATGCAAATCCATTATCCATGGACCATGGTTAGTGTTTGGGCCTAACACATTTGTATTAGGTGCTTCGTGATTAGTCTAGTTGAAAACATTTTTCGGTGGATAAGACATTTATTTATTTATTTATTTGAGTAGGTAAATAACAAATTTATATATTATGAATATATATTTTATTTGTTGTTTAATAATGTTTTTTAGCATATGACCTCACAAGTTTAAATACGACGAGCAATATATTATATTACTTGTTCATTGCATTATTTTCAAGCCAGTTGTGCAAATAACAATAGGTTGTACGGGTTTCAAAAAGTCCATAGGACCCTGAACCCGTGGGACCCCAATTATGTATGCGGGATATTTATTTAAAAAATCGGGGACTGGGGCAATGTTTTAATTTCGGGGGCGGGGGCGTGGATAGGCAGTCCCGTCCCGAACCCCGAATAGGGTCCCCATTAATATATTATTTACATTAATATAAATTAATTATATAAATATAATAAATATATGAATGGTTTTGAGCTTCCAAAATTCAATAAAATACCATGTTTTTAAGTTGTTAGTATAATGTTTTTGAGATATTATAATATTTTTGTTTTTAACATTTAAAATGATCCGGGGGCGAGGGCGGTGGTAATCGTGGGATTCGAGGGCGGGCGCGGGGGTGGGGAGGCTTGAGATTTCCGAGGAGGGGGCGGGGGATGCAATCCCCGCCCCGTTTGCCCCTATTGACATCCCTACATGGTTGTTATCCAAGATATATATTATATTACTTGTTCTCTTCTTTTCTTCACACGTTAAAATATAATGGACACCAACCGACCATAACCTCTGCCAAGACTTATGACATCACCAACATAAAAACCTACGTATATCTCTTTCTTGATCTTGATTGCCTCAACTACGATGCTTGGTGCAAAATATTTACTACTTATTGTATCAGTTTCGATGTACTTAATCACAATGACAACACATACAATCCACCCAAGACGCCGATTCGGAATGGCATAAACTTGACTCGATTGTGAAGTTGTGGCTATATGGTTTGATCGCTCAATCCCTACTTACATATGTTTAATCCCGATGCATCCTCTCGACAAATATGGTTGAATCTCGAATTACTTTTCCTGGTAAATAAAGAAGCCAAAGCCATGGGCAGGGCCGGTCCAAACATATTTGGGGCCAGAGGAAAAAGTAAAATAAAGGACCTTCAGTTCCTAGAAATTCGTATGACCGCTAAATTTTTGTTAAATTTGATAAAAAAAAAATTATTGTTAAGATATGAACCAAATACCAAAGTTTTTTAACCGATTGTACTATAAATTTGTTATTGTTATGTGAAAAAAAATTATATATAAACTAATTTTGATCTCTCCGTTCATGATTATTGCACAAAAATTAAAGTGATTGTGGATCTTCTCGAAGGCATTGAAGAATCGGTTGAATACAAACATCTCTTCATTTACGCCATTAATGATTTCTCTAGTAAGTTTGACAATCTTGCAAGTATTATCCGTCACAGAAGACCCTTACCGACCTTTGTTGAAGTTCGATATATTCTCCTTCCCAAGGACTAAAGAATCAATCAAACCAACTACCTCCTCTGTCTGATGATTGTAACATCTGGTTTCGAGAAACTTCCTATTTCGGGAATTATGGGCATTAAATGGATCAAGTTAGGGCCCTGGACTTCAAAGGGTTTGAGTTTTAGACCCAATTGGGTGTGGATTATATAGGTTGTGTGATCCAAGCTTTCAGTTTATGCTTTGGAGTCCAAGGGTATAATGGTAAAAGTGATGCTTCAGACCTTTTCTTGAATTGAGGACTCTAGTTCGAATGGTTTTAAGTCAAAGGAGCTTAGATGGGATTATAGGGCTTTTCATTACCTTTCCGAGCATATAAAGAATGTCGAATGGAGTTGGGGAAAATAAGTTATGGCCATTGAAATTTAGAATGGGAAAGAGTTTGTCGTGTACATTGGGCTTACCAGGCATGTATGTTGGGAGTACTTGGCTTAACTGGTCGCGGAGATTCTACCTAGTAAGATGCGCATACCTGGAGTACGTTGGGCATACGCGTGGCAGGGTCAAGCGCTAATTTTTGGGTCTTTGACCCTATTTAAAGGCCTTAACCTTTTGGAAACCCTTCTTATATTCATCCTCCATCATCTAAAGCAGTTCCCTCGAAACCCTAACCCCATTTGTGAGATTCTTGAGCCCTTTGGGTGTTTTAGAGTGTTCTTGGTGCTTTGTGGAAGAATGAGAAGTTCATCCTTGTGGATTGTTGTGGCTAGAGCTTGGAGATCCATGACTTTTATCATCTTTGCAAGCTTTTGGAGGCATAAAGCTTCAAACTTTATGGCTCTTTAGTGTAGATCTAGTTTTGGGTTAGGTTATGAGGATGTTTTGGTCCCTTGGCTTGCATCTTGTGAGTAGAAGTTACTCCAGAACCTTTGAGCCTCTTTTCTAATCATTTTTAGGTCATTAAGTCATAAAAATTGAATCTTGATGGGTATATCTCTTCCATGCATGAGTTAGTGGTCCTTTGGTGAAGATTTGAATCTAGGGATTTGGTTTGGAATCCATTAAGCCATGCAAAGTCATAAAGTCAGGAACTTTATGACTTAAGACGTCCCTTAGAATCCGATCTGGGTGTTGGTATTTAAGTATTAAGGTATTAAGAAGCTTAAAGTTGAGTTTGGGCAAGAGTGGCGTACGTTGGGCGTACCCTCCTGGTACGCTACCTGTAACGAGTTTTAGTCATTATTGTTTTCTCCGAACACACCTTTATGGGCCATTTTGGGTTTGGGCCATGAATTGTTGGGCCAAGTATGGGAAGGGTAAAATAGTCGTTTACCCCTTAGCATGATAGAATATGATTGGACCTTTAATTATAGGTTACTACCCTAATTTTTTATTTGAATTGATCTTGGATATGTTCAGTGTGAGAAGCCATGGTAGCAACAGCTCGAGTGTGTGATTTATTGACATCGGATTGAGGTGAGTCACCTTACTATACTTGTGGGTCGAAGGCACCAATGAAGGCCCACTGGAATGTGTTATGTAGGATGCTACTTATCTTTGTGAATCTTGCATTGTATGTTAGATTGGGCCCATGGGAATGCATGTAGGGTTGGGCCCATTGCATGAGTGGGCTAGGCCCGTGCATGACGGGCTAGGCCTACTTGTATGTTGGGCTTGGTTCATTTATTAGGAAGGGATAGGCCTATAATTATGGGTTAGGCCCAATGTGTGGCTAGGCCCATTGATATGTATGGTATGTGGTATTTTGGGGAAGTCACTAAGCTTTGTGCTTATAGTTTATGGTTATGGTTTCACGTACTTCCAGTTCATACGGAAAGGGCCCGGCGTGACTGCACAACATCCCCTAGAGTTTTATTTCGCAATAGCTTATTATGACTTTTACTCTGATGTTTAAATATTATTTTTCATCGTGAGTGTTTTCGGGAACAAATTGTTGGATGGATTAATGTTTTAAAAATGAAAATTTTTCCATGGATTTTCGGGATGTTACAAGTTCGTATCAGAGCCTCGGTTTTGTAACGACCCAAAAATCATAATAAATTTTAACTTTTCAAAAACAACCCAAAACCATAACTGTTTACAAGAAAACCCATTGTTTCAAAAGTATAGTATAATTAGAGTATCCCAAGAACCAATATCATCAAAACAGGAAGATGTGCACCATCACGCCTTCGCTTTCCCACGATCCTCTGAAGTACCTGAAATGATAAACTAAAACCGTAAGCTAAAGCTTAGTGAGTTCCTCCAAAGTACCACACAACATAACAAACAAAATCATGCATACATGAGCCTTCAACATGATTGGACCGCCTCGCAGGGCCTACAACCTATCTGGACCGCTCTTCGAGCCTTCGTCCTGACTGGACCGCCTTGCAGGCCTTCAGTCTATCCGGTCCGTCCTGGGTGTTTTGGACTTTAGCAACAGCTGGTCCACCTCAACCCATTAAACCATAACATGTCGACATATACAATAACAAACATAAATCAACAAAACACAGGTATTCCTACAGATCTACCAGTCTAATCACATAACCATTGTACATGTATCTCAACATAATAGTATGTAGCAAAACAAGATATCTAATCCAAAGGGCCAGTCTTGGTGCCTTCGACCCATAAGTACATTGAAGGAAAACTCACCTCTCAGTCCGAACAAATAGTTGAATAGGTCTCTGCTTCGAACATCAACTCTAACCGTTACCTATTTAGCAAATAGTGACCAATCTCAAATACAACTCAAAGTACCCAAAATACCCTTAGGTCAAAATTGATCAAATCTCGGTCAAAGTCAAAAGGCAACAAACCAGTCGA